GGTATTACAGGAGCTTCCCAGGGCTGTTTTTCCTCTCTGGATTTGGTCCCTGAGAAGGAGAAGTTCCTTTTTTTAGCAGCATCTTGGCAGATGTGCCAAACATAGAAAGGACCGATCCTGGGAATGTAGAAATCCCTCCAATAATCACGTCTGCAGGGAAATGTTGATTTCTTGGGCCGGTGATTCCCAGCCTGTTGTTGGAATTAAAGGAAACAAGATCCTGGACAAGGCCCACCTACCTGGTCACTAAGGATCAATACCAACCAATACCAATACCAATAGCAACTTGGTAGCACATGATCCGTCAGCTGATCGATGCAAAGACTCAATTCTCTTGAAAGGCCTATTATGCTGGATAAGGAAAAAGAAGGTGGAGAAACTCAATTACAGCCATGACAGAGGCACCATTGGAAGTCCTGAAGGACCAAGCTGGGGACAGATCATCCTGGACAAAGTCCACCTGTGTGGAATAGAATGGAATGGAATGGAATAAAGTAATGAATAGAGTAGAGTAGAATAGGAATAGAATAGGAGAAATGAAGAACAGAGTAGAATAGAAATAGACTGGACTAGACTAGACTAGAATAGAGTAGAATAAGAATAGGAGAAATGAAGAACAGAGTAGAATAGAAATAGACTGAACTGGACTGGACTGGACTAGACTGGACTGGACTGGACTGGAATGAGTAATGAATAGAGTAAAGTAGAATAGGAATGGAATAGGAGAAATGAAGAACAGAGTAGAATAGAAATAGACTAGACTAGACTAGACTAGACTAGACTGGACTAGACTGGACTAGACTAGACTAGACTAGACTTGAATTGAATTGAATTATTGGCCAGGTATGATCGGACACACAAGGAACTAAGAGCTCTGATTGATGGCACAAATCAATCAGTTTCATGCATTAAGTTATGTTGTTGTTTTTTCCTCCATACTCTGAATGCAGGAAGGACAGGCAGCCATTCCACAGGTGTCACAGAGGAGTATTTTTCCCCTCTTCCGCAGGAGAGAATTGCTGGCTAACTTCTATTTACTCAAGCGCCTTACAAACCCTTCCATCAATTTTTTCTTCTTCTTGCTGCGTTGTTGCCTGTGGCTCACAAGTGGGTGTTAGTGATGAATAGCACCTTAAAGTCTCTCTTAATTGCACCAATCAGTTTGGGTTAGCCCAGGAGGAAGGAAACTTTAATTACTGTTTTTTGTTTTTTTTTACTTCTCTTTCTGGCATTCTTTGCATTTTTTTTCCCTAGCAAAATGGTACCGTCGAAATAAAACGAAAAGTAGCACTTAAAGCTTCCACATTCATCCCAAGAATAGAAGACAACACAACTTAATTAAGAAAAACCAATGAAGTGGCCAGAAGGAAGGGATCCACTAACCCCTCCGGTCACAATCAATTGGGAGCAATCAACCTACAGTAAGAGCTTTAGCAAAGAAACCTTTAATTAAAGGAACAACAGCCCTGCATTGTATCTTCCCTACCATCGCTGCAACAATAGGTATAATTGCAAACCAGGTATGGGAAACGCTAAAAGATGTAATCTTTGACTGTCAAGTTATAATTATTTGGAACACTGTTAAATGCAAAAAACAGCAACAACAATCAAGAGAATAAAGGACTTATGAGATTGTATTTTACAGCCACTTTGAGCATATTTATTTAAGCAACGTAGTGGTCACCCAACTCCTAACAAGTTTTGGGGTAGGGTTTACGATTAAAAAAAACCAAGAACAATACCAGAAGAGGTAAAAGGTTGAGAAACATTAACCTAGTTAGTCTCCGCACTTAGGGCAGGACGAGGGGGAAGCCACATAAGTGTGGAGACTGACTAGGTTGTTTCCCAACCTTGACAACTTGAAGAGCTGTAGACTTCAACTTCCAGCAAAGCCGGCTGGGGAATTCTGGGAGTTGAACTCTACACCTCTTCTTGAGAAACATTGAGCAAGGCCTTCATTAGCTTCCCAAATGCCATCAGGATGTGAGCCATCGAGTCACATAGATGAGTTCCTTGACGATGTAGGACTAGACTCATCTTCCTTGATTTTTGGCCATGTTGTCAGGGATGATGAAAGTTGCAATCCCAAAGTTGCTCATGGTTTGACAGAGCTTGTCCACATTCTGCAGAAATCCTCTTGAAGAAATGCTACCAGCTTGACTCATGGCCAACAGTCCTCAAGGCAGACCATCCCATGTTCTTCCACCACCTTGCAAGGCTGGTGTTCAATTCTCTGATCATCCCCATTGTCCTTCTCTGGACGATGGCAGGGATGGACTAGGAAGAACCAGTAATTTTAAGATGTTATGCTTAAACAAGTGTGAAGGGGGGCAGTGGGTGGGCTTGGAGAGAAAATGGGATAGCACAAGGATAGCACAAGCTTTTTTTTGGGGTGGTGGTGGTAATGGACCCAACTGAGGAAGGAGGGGGAGAGAGAGATTAGATACTTGGAGCAAACATCCATCCCTGGGCTTCCTGCCATTGTGTAGCCAGGGGCGGGGTGGGGGGGTGGGGGTGAAGAAAGGATAGGCCTGCATAAACACTTAACCCAGGTTTCCTTTCGATCCTTGTGCCCAGTCAACGCCCAGGTCTCATTGTAAAAATAAGTGGGAAGGCTGGAGCAGCAAATAATGTGCACTATAACCTCTAATCTTCAGAGCCAGATGTAAACTTTGGCCAAGTAGGAAAAGAGAAAGAAAGAAAGAAAGAAAGAAAGAAAGAAAGAAAGAAAGAAAGAAAGAAAGAAAGAAAGAAAGAAAGAAAGAAAGAAAGAAAGAAAGAAAGAAAACACAAGCCTGCAGTAACTGAGGTTTCTAATTTTAAAAATGATAAAAAAAATCAGACTCATAAAACAGACAGACGTCTATTTTCAGTGAGTTTTTTCCCTTCCTTCATTGTGAATTTATTACCATTTCCTGATTGAATTTTGAGTGTGCATCTGGTAAGGAAAGCTGGCTGCGAAGGATTTGTTCTGCAAAGGTGGCAGTCCCTATGCACTTCTTTAACAAAAAGTAATTGAACTGAAACTAAATTTGATGTCCTTCCTACTGTCTTTCATTCACTTTTCAAGGAGAGAAGCAACCTGGAATTAAGGAGAAACTTCCTGACAGTGAGAACAATTAACCAGTGGAACAGCTCGCCACAAGAAGTTGTAGGTGCTTAGTCACTGGAGATTTTTAAGAAAAGACTGGACAGCCACCTATCTGAAAGGGTGAAGAGTCTCCTGCTTGAGCAGGGGGCTGGACTAGAAGACCTCCAAGGTCCCTTCCAGCTGTGTTCTGATTGAAGCCTTCTTCCCGTTGCTGATTACTGTGTCTGGGAAAGGAGGGGCTGAACCGGCCTTTGGCCAAACTGCTTGCCCAGATCCTTAACAACAGGAGGAAGAAAGCGCTGGGAAGGAGCCGGGTCAGCACTAAGTGGGCAAATCAGACAGGAAGCCCATTAGCGCCCCACCCAGAATTGGAAAGAGCTCTGATATTTTATAAAAAATGAAAAGTGGACGCACAATGTTGGAAAAGTTGAGTTTTCGTTACAATGAGCACGTTTTTTGTCACTGAAGAAGTGGCCTGCAGCCCCTTCCTTGGCTCCACCTGGATTATTACTTTATCCTCAGCCACTGTGGTGCCGTCCCCATGTTCATACACACACCCAACTGACCGTGGGAACATGTGTGCCCAGAGAACTTTCTTTGCAGGGATGCTTATTAAGGCACCATTGTAGGTTTTTCTTCTCACCACGAGTAAAACCCCTGCAAGGGTTTCTTTCATCTACCTGAGAGCACTTGAAAATTTATTCCTCATCTCCCTGGAATGTTTTCAAACTGATTTAATGGTTGGGAACGATGGGCGATTGTTTCCGGGGGCCCTCCTTTTTATTTCTCTGCAGCCTCCCTCTGGCCTCCTAGTTCCCAAACTGAGCACTTCTAGAGGAGTATGTAAAGTGTGTGTTTGTGTGTATGTGCATGTGTGTACAATATATCTATATATCTATATCAGGGGTGTCAAACTGCCAGCCCACCAAAGTAGCTTTGATCTTCTGCATCCTTGCTGATAAGAAACAGAAGATTCAAGGGTTCCATCTGGTCAAGAAGGTTTTAGCGCCCCCTTCTGGTAGATAACCCAGTGCTCCCTAAATTCTGGGAATTGGAATCCCCGCATCATAGAATAGAATAGAATAGAATAGAATAGAATATATGCAATGGAGTGGAATATAGAGAATAGAATAGAATAGAATAGAATAGAATAGAATAGAATAGAATAGAATAGAATAGAAGCTGGAAGGGACCTTGGAGGTCTTCTAGTCCAGCCCCCTGCTCAAGCAGGAGTTAAAGTTGCCAAAGCTGAGAAACCCTGGACTTTGTGGATGCTTCAGGATCTCTTCCAAACTCTTGCATTCTACAATTCCAAAAGCAGACTAAGGAAAAGAAAACGTCACTCTGAAATTTGGACCATTATTTCAGCGATAAGGAAGGCCGAAATTCTGATTGTGCGTCTTCCATTGTTCGCCTGGATATCATCCTCTAAACCACGGGCCTGAACTGGCAACGGGTACATCGCAGAGAACGAAGGATAGCAATCCATCCATCAACCAACCAACCAACCAACCAATCAATCAATCAATCAATCAATCAATCATCAAATATAAAACTCCAAAGTTGTTTAGCTGGGCGCAGAGTAGGTCATGGGAACTTTATTTTTATTTTTTTACAAAAGCTTTCTGTAAATAAATACAATAATAGAACGCTCGTTAACATCTAAATGAGATTCTTGCGAAAAATGATTGTTTTTCCTACCATCGTAACATCCCAGATTCTCTGATCGCATGGAAAAGGTAGGGAAAAAAACGGTAGTAAAAGACCCTATCGCTTCAACTGAACGGAGTTGAGGGCCTTCCTTTCCTGGGGTCCTGAGTTGGGGCAGGTGTGATGCATGGTGGACTCAATCCAACTCTTTAGGAATGCCAACATTCCCACGCTAAAGATGCCATCAGAATGAATCAGGTCACATCTGAGGCTCCCACGCATCGGGCTTAGCCCCCGGATCCCTCCCGCAGTTGGGGTCTGGCAGGTTTAGCAGGAGCAGGGCCCCCCCTGAAACTGTCTTCAGGCTGAGCACGCTGGGCACACTGTCCTGCAGGCAGGGACGCCAGTCTGAGGCGGCCTGCAGCGGCTGGCTCTTCAGGCCGTGCGTCCGCTGGTGCTTGAGGAGGTTGGTGCTCTGGCCAAAGGCCCGCTGGCAGTGGGGGCATTTGAAGGGCCCTTCGCCCATGTGGACGCGCCGGTGCCGGATGAGGGTGGAGCCCCGACGGAAAGTCTTTTCACAGTGGGGACACTGGTAGGGCTTCTCCCCGTCGTGCAGCCGCTGGTGGCGCATGTACTCCTGCCGGCAGGTGAAGGTGGAGCTGCAGGAGGCGCAGGGGTACGGCTGCTCCCCAGTGTGGATCCGTTGGTGCCAGACGAACTCCTGCTTGTAGCGGAAGCTCTTCTCGCAGCCGGGACACCGGTAGGTCTTCTCTCCAGCGTGGCTCCTCTGGTGCCAGGTGAACTCCTGCTTGAAGCGGAAGCTCTTCTCGCACTCCGGACACTTGTACGGCCGGTCGCCCACGTGGGCCCGCTGGTGCCACATGAACTCCTGCTTGTACCGGAAGCTCTTCTCGCACTCGGGGCATTTGTACGGGCGCTCCACAGAGTGGGTCTTCAGGTGCCACGCCAGCTCTTGCTTGAAGCGGAAGTTCTTCCCGCAGGTGCCACATTTGTGGGGCCACTCGGCCGTGTGGGTGCGCTGGTGCCACATCAGCTCCTGCTGGTGCCGGAAGACTTTGGCACAGGTGCTGCACTTGTAGGTCTTCTCTCCGGCATGCACTTTCTGGTGCCAGCTGTACTCGTGGGCATATCGGAAGGTCTTCTCACACTTCCCGCACTTGTAGGGCCTCTCCTCCTTGAGGACCCCCCTCGGGCGGACACTCAGCGTGGAGCAGTGTGCACAGGAGCAGGGGGGCAACACCCCGGCTCGGCTTGGGGGTTCAGCAGGGGTCGGCGGGCTCTTAATGTGGCCGCGCTCACATTCAGGGCACACCTGCCCCAATGCTCCACGGGGCACCACCGTCGGGATGCGGAGAGCAGAATGGATGGGAAAACATTTCTGGCATTGGGTGCAGATCAGCAGCATCTCCTCATGGGTGCCTGGCTGGGGGGCAGTGACACTCAGGGGCCGGAAACCGCTTTCCCCAGCCCCTCGAGGTGCAGCCTGAAATTCCACCGGCACAGCCTGCTCACCTGCCAGGCTGCAGTTCTCCCGCTTGAGCCCCACGTCCCCAGGAGACAGACCGGCTGCTCCATTTACTGCAGAATCAGGCCCGAGGGAGCCTCCCATCCACCCGGGCTGCTCACAGAGGGACCGATGGTGCTGGCTCCCCTTCCGGGCCAGTGGACAGCACGGCAGCCCCGTGTCATCTCCATCAAGGGCCGGCTCCTCTTTAACGGTCGGCTGGCCACCTGCGGGGACAAGAGACCGAACAAAAGCATTACGCAGATGCACGAGGGAAAAAATACGGTATAATTTGGAGCAGGGAGAAATGGCACCTTTCGGAGTTGTCACAAAATGGCCATCATGGGGGGGGGGAGTGTTACAAAGCATCTGGGTACGGCCAGTTGCAACGCTGCAGTTGACACTGGGGGAGGGAGGGGGTGTCCTACCAACACAACGTGGCAAGTTCTCCTTTGGCAGTCAGAGATCTCCTGAACTGAGCCAGGGGTTGAACTAAGTGACCTCTAAGATCCCCTCCTTTGATTCTACCAGGCCGTTGTGAGCTGGCGGTCTGCAAGACTTCCCTGCCCCCCCCCCCAAATTATTCACACTCCCGCCGCAGAAATCCCCAACTTCTCTGCAATTGAAAAAACCAGCCCTGCAGATGGTTGGAAGCATCATTTTGATTTCTCCTCCTGCCTCCAGGGAAGGCAACCCTCTCCAGGGATCTGCAGCTTCAGACGTACCCCCCAAATTGTCCTTTGAATCCTCTCTGGACTTTGGGAACTGTGCTCTCCCCGCACAGGGCTCCTCCCAGGCTCCGATCTCCAGGAGGACGCTGGGGGGCTGCGCGGCGAGACCTGGGGGCCAAAAGAGAAAGAGATGGGGTGAATCCTGCCCTTTCGCTGCCCTCCTCGGGGTGTGTGTGTGTGTGTGTGTGTGCGTGTGTGTGTGTTTCTGCACTTTTGGCTTTGCTATCTCTTACTATCTTGCTATTTCCTTTCCTTTCCAGTGAAAAAGAGCTACCTAGAGACACCAGGGCTTCGTAGTTGTCCTTCATGACATCCCGGTAGAGGCTCCTCTGCCAGTCGGTCAGCGTTTCCCACTCTTTTGCAGAAAAGTAGATCGCCACTTCCTCAAACGTCACTGGATCCTGAAAAAGGGGACCCAGAGACAGCTCAAGTGCTGGCCCAGTTTCCCTTCTCTTCCCGGGGGGGGGGGGGGTATAGCCAAGCGAATAACAGCATCGGGCCATCCCTGGTTGTTGTTTTTCCTGATTTCATTCCCCCAATTGGCATAATTTATACTAAAATTTTAAAAAGAGAGAGACAGATTTGGAAGGAGTTAAAACAATTTTAGTGTGGGGAGATCTGTGGTTTAAAAATCTCTTTTTTACTTCTTCCTCTCAAGCCCAAAGCCTTCCGCCTTGATCACTGTCTTTGTTGGGGAGCAATGGTTTAACCCACCTTCTCCCCCCCCTGTTCCACTGAAGGCCAGGCTGATCCCCAAAGCAAGGATGCAAAGTTGGGGCAGAAGCCAGGTGGAGCAGAGGACAGACTTACCTGCTGGGTGGGGGCTCCAGCCATCTCTCAAGGTGAGGCCCTGCTGGTCTCCCTGCAGTCCAGCTCCTTCCTTCTTCCTCTTCCCGAGGGGGTCAGAATCAATACGACCAGCTGATCAATGCAGGACTTTGGTTTTAGGCAGAGTTTGGGTGGGAAAGGCCAGTTCAAAAACAGGGCGTTCCCAGGAGGACTGTAAATCCGGTGGGGGGGGGCAGGGGGCGAAGGGAGAGGAGAGGAAAAGAGACAGAAGGAGACCTTTATAAGGTATGTTTTGACTTGTGGTTTCGACTTGTGTGTAGTGTGCACTGTGGACAGCACTTAATTTCGTGGTGAGATACACCATAAAGATTAGTCTATTTTTAAATGTCCTGACCATGAGAACCATTAGCCAGTGGAACAGCTTGCCTCCAGAAGTTGTGGGTGCTCCACCGCTTGGTTTTTTTTTTAAGAAGAGCGATCAGCTGGTGGGGAAGCCTGGGATCTGTAGTCCCCCAAATTAGGAAGATGCCTGGCCCGGCCGACCCTTTGCGTGCGACCCCTTCCCTCCTGCCCCTCCGGCTTCCCGGCCCGGCCGAGACCCCCAAGAACTCCCCACGCGCCACGCCCGGAGGGAAAGCGCTCCCCGCGCAGGATCCTCGCCGGGAAGAACCGCCGCGCCCGATCCAGCTGGGGACAAAAGCCGGCCGGCGCGGCGCTTACCCGCCACCCGAGGGGCGCAGCGCCGCGCCCGGCTGGGCACCTGCGCTGGGCACCGGCGGCCGCCTCGCCTCCCTGCGCGGCGGTGGGCAGGCCGAAGGCGGCGGCGGCGGCGAGGGGGGCTCGCAGCCTTAACCCCTGCCTCGCCGCAGGTAGGCAGGCAGGCGGGCCATCCGCACACCGCCCCCGCCTGGCCGCCGGGGAAGGGGAGCCGGCAGGAGCCGCGCCCGGCGCCCGGCTGCTCGCTCGCGGACCGGGACCACCGGGGGGGGGGGGGCTGGGAGCTTTGGGGCCGGGGTCCCGGGAGCCACGCGCGCCCGGCGTCTCGGAGGGAAGCGCGGGGGTCTTTCGCTTCTTCTAGGCAGGGCGGAGGGTTCGTGGAGGGGAGGGAAGGACTCGGCCGTCGCTGCCGCCAAGGGGCCCCCGGGCTTTGGCCAGGCGGGTCGGGGGAACCCCCCACGCGTGGGACGGCGAGGGAGGGTGGCGAGGGAGCGCCCCGCGGTCTGCTCACCTTGGGAAGGAGCGGAGCCCCCAGTTGGGGGACAAGCAGCGGAGCGGCTGGCGTCCCGGGCCATTGCGGCTTTTAGGGGGCTCTGCTTGGAAAGAGGCTGTGGCTGCGAGATCCGGGGGTCAGTGGCGAACTCCGCGAACCGTAGCAACTCGGGCAAGCGAACGGAGCCATCGGAACCGGCCGGGAAGAGCTCCGCTGGTTGCTTGAAGCTCCAACTCGGTCGGCCACTTTGGGGCTTCAGGATGTCACGCAACCCTAGGCGGAAGCTGACGCGCAATTCGCCGCCTGCACCCGGGGCCGCTTGCGAGCGAGTGGCTAGGGGGGAAAAAAGGGTGCTCTTCCCCCAAGGAACTCCTCGGGAGCAAATCCAACTTCAGACGATGCAAGAAGATAGATCCGTTCCGTCGGGGTGGACTAGATGGCCATATGGGGTCCCTGCCGTTTCAGCGGAAGCCTACGGCAACCTGGGCATGCAACCCCAAATAATAGATCCCTAATCTGAAGGTGGAAGTACTCCGATTCCCATCCTGCTATGCGGTTGTGCAAGAAGATGAGAAGGATAGTCCTTCCCATGGGGAAAAACATCAACACTTCCGGGTGTGTCTTGACAACTCAGGCAGAGGAATAACAATAATTACATATTATTATATATTACACTATAAACATGCACATTCTCTATATACATATACATATTCGCCACTATTGCAAGTACACGTATTTATTTTTGTATATACGTACATTTTATACATATACTACTACATATGCATATAATATATATACCGTACCTACGTACGCACATAGTATATAGACATATACTATGCTGATATATCCTGACATCTTAGGTTCTTGCACAGGAAGACCAACACCACCAGCTAAAGAACTCGTAGCTGTGACTTCCCATTGTTGTGTGCATAGTACATTTCAATAAGCATCCTAGGGATTAGGCTGTGTGGCTTCACTCTGCCCCACTTAAGTGTGGCGAGTGATAACCGGAAGGATATGAACCTATGCGTGCTCCTATCTCTAGGAGAAGCTTTTGTGGTGTCCTCTTTGTGGCAGCCTCTCTCCAGGATTAAGGCTGCCACAAAAAGGAGCGGGTCCACTTATTTTCCAAAGCCCCAGAAGGCAAGACAAGAAACAATGGATGGAAATTAATCAGAGAGGGAAGCAACCTGGAATTAAGGAGAAACTTCCTGACAGTGAGAACAATTAACCAGTGGAACGGCTTGCTTTTAGAAGTCGTGGGTGCTCCATCACTGGAGGCTTTTAAGAAGAGACTGGACGGCCAATTGTCTCAAATGTTATGGAGTCTCTTGCTTAAGCAGGGGGTTGGGCTAGAGCACCTCCAAGGCCCCTTCCAGCTCTATTCTGATTGATTGGTTGATTGTCTGGGCAAAGGCAATCCAGGCTCCAGAGTTTTCCTTTTGCTCAGTTGAGAATATCGCCTCTCCCCCCCCCCTCTTTCGGATAACCCCTTCATTCCTGGCAGCCACTTTCCTTCCCCACTTCCAGCTGGATTTCCCTGCTGGTTGGTTCGCTTTGAAGGCAGCCTAGCGCATTAGCCAGCACCGATGCCTCCGTCTGATGTTGCTGGAAGCGGTGGTTTTCTTACCAATTCCAGATTAGAGACATGCTCCAGGACATCACCAACTTGGCATTTTTCAGTTTGAGTTGGAAATTTGGAGACCCCTAAGTATAAATCCAGCATGGGTGATGGGCAGTTGGCCACAGAAGGGTTGATACAAGTAGACTTTGAGATCTTCTGATAACTGGAAATGTTTCTGTCCCATCCTTGGCCAACCATTTTGGCATCTGCAAACCATCTGGGTGCTTGCAATACAGGAGACTTTGAAAAACCCCCTCCCCTCCTGGGGAACCTTCCCCCTTTTACCGTGGAGAAACGTCTTCCTTCTGATCCAGGAGTTGCCAGATTCTTGCAGAAATTGCTGGATAAACATCTGGAAGGGAGACGGGCAGTTGTGAACATTCAAAGTTAGAAGCTGAACTAGAGCTAGAAAAGCTCAACCCTTGTGAATAGGACATGAAGAGCAACAGGGCCTAAAGCCGCGCACAGAAGGCCAGTGTTACATCTAGAGATCTGCTGCCACATTCTGTCCAACATTGCTTCATTGAGCACACAAGTGTGGAAAGCTGCGCTATTTAGAGCACACACTTACAGATCTGTGAAAAAATATTTATCACATCTTTGGGTTTTGCTTGCTGAGAGTAATCCAAGATTCCGGAGGCACCTGTGTTTCATGACTTTACTTGTGGAAATAAATGAAGCCCACAGTAGTATATCAAAAGGACCGGCATGAAGGTCTGATGATATTTGGTGGGAAAGCTATACAAAAATCCAGAAATTCAAATCAGGGGAAATTTTCCTTCCCAGAGATCTGATGAAACTTCTTTGATTCAGCTGCAGACAGTTCTCAGTCAAGGACATCAGAACAGGTATGGATCTGAAGCAGACGGTTCCCATAACAAAGCGGACTTGTGGGTATGGATTACGTAAGACTTTGGAGGTTTGGCTGGGAAAACGATTGTTTAAGTCTATGAACTGGTGTGGGAACCTCAGAGTTAGTTTTTCTTTGACATAACCAAGCAGTGTATTCAATAAACAGTAAGATTTTTCAGAAACGGAATTAACCCGGAGTTTTATTTGGATTCTCGAACTGGATGTTGACACTGAGGTATTTATGACTGTTTTTTTCTGTAGTTTTAATTATCCTGGTTTTATTCATTTTTCTTGAAGGATATATCCATGTAGGCGCATTTACAAGACCAAGTCAAAGTTCATTCTTTGAGGAAAGTGGCAAATGCTGGACTACAATTCTCATAAATGCCAATGGCACCCTCCCTTCCAAACGTCTGGAGGATGGAAATGTCTAGCAGTTGGAATCCAACCCATATGGCTTGGGCAACTAAGATCTAAGTTCTCTTGCGATACTCACCTCTCTGGCTCACGATCCAGTTCCTCCTTCGGTTCGTTGATGGGCATACGGTCTGCTTTGTCTTTTCCATAAGCCACGTTCTTCTTTGCCGCATGCAGCTCGCCAACTCCCTCTTCCGGTGGTGGGCCAAACCTGGGCTTGTCTTTCTCCTGTCTTTCCTTCAACCAGCTGCGCTGCAGAGTGAGGATGTCGTCCATGTGTTCCTGCAAAGAATTTTGTCCGATCAGAAGGGGGCCACTGACAAGAAGTGACTTTCAGTGCTAAGCCTCAGTTCCAGCCAGAATACGTAGTGACCACGACAAAAGGCCTCTCACGGCCCCAACTGGCTGGACTTTTAAGAGGGACTCACGTGAACCAGCTGCTCTTTCAGGCCTTCGAGAACTGACTGACTCTCCAGGCAAAGCTGCTCTTTCTGCTGCCTCAACTCCAGCTCCTGAAGAAGGGAAGAAGTCAAGTGATTACGTGACTTAAGAAGAACCATTGTAAGAGGGTAAACAATAAAGGAAACCGCTAACTTTCTCAGTTCGGGCCTGATAGTCCAAACCAGCACTCGCCTTCTCCCTCTGGATCTGGAAAACGCGCTGTTTTTGCCCCTCAAGCTCGTGGTTGAGGTCCTGGATGTAACTCTGAATTTCCTCCCTCGCCTCTCGCAGGGCCTGGAGGGCAGCGCTGGAGGAGAGAGGAAGACCCTCCCTGGGAAACAAGGAAACAGCCGATGGTGGAATTGGCCTTTTTGCAGTTGTGACATTATGACAGCATTTCAGGGTATCTGCAGGTAGTCCTCCACCTACAACGGTTCGTTTAGTGACTGTTCCGGGTTATCATGGCACCAAAAAAAGGGACTTAGGACCCTTTTTTACCAT